CTCCGGCCGCCACCGCCGCCTCCTGCACGAGCACTCAGTGCGCGCGCGCGCGCCGAGGGCGGGGGGGGGTTAGGGGGAGCGTGCATGCGCGGTGCGAGCAGGGCGCGCCGGGCCGGGAGCGTGGCGCAGGCGGGGGCGAGAGCAGCGGGCGCGCTCCCCGCGCTTCCTCTCCCTTCCCCCCGTCCGAACTCCGTTCCGCTCCATCGGCCCTCTCGGAAGCTCCGCGCTCCTCTGAAAGGAGGAAGGAAGGAGAAGAGGAGTGCGCAGAGGCGTTCGGAAACAGCCCTTGCCTCAGCGGGAGCCGAGGGAACCGCTTGCGCCGCGGGCACCCGCCCTGCCGCGCCTGCGTGTGTGCGTGTGCGAGCGAACCCAGCGGCGAGCGGGGCGCGGACTCGGCCCGCAGCGGGGTGCGGGAGGCAGAGGGGGGGGGTGAGGGAGGTCGCCGTTGGGCGGCGCTGGCGGGGCGGGGCCGCGCGCTAGGCAATGCGGCGGGCGGGAAGGGGCGCTCGCGCCCGGCGGCGCGGGAGCGTGAAGCTGCGGAGAGGGGGAGGGTGGAGCCGTGCCCGTAGCGGCGGGGCCGCGGCTTCTCAGCACTCCGCGGTCGCGTGGTTAGCTGAGGCGGGATGTTGAAAGGAGTGGTGCAGAGAGCACGCCTCGGTGTTTGGAGCACAGAAACACAGAACGGCTTGGGTCGGAAGGGACTTTAACGCCCATCCAGTCCCACCCCGTGCCGTGGGCAGAGCTGCCACCCCGCAGCTCAGCTGCCCGGGGCCCCGTCCAACCTGGCCTTGAGGGCCTCCAGGGATGAGGCACCACAGCTTACATGGGCAGCTGTGCCAGCCCCTCACTGCTCCGTGAATAAAATCTTCCTAGGCTAACCTGACTTTCCCCACCTCTTTCCCCACCAATTTCAGGCTCCAGGCCTGAACATAGTACTCCAGGTAGGGACTGAGGAGGGCAGAGCAGAGGGGACGATGCCCTCTCTATCTCTGCTGGTCACCCCTCTTCTGATGCAGCCCAGGATACAGTTGGATGTCCAGGCTGCAAGTATACACTGCTGGCTCATGTCCATCAGAACCCCCAGGTCCTTCTCCCCAAGGCTGCTTTCAAATGAGTACTTCTCTTGGTCTGTATTTGTATCAGGGATTGCCCTGATCCAAACGCAACAGCTTGCGCTTGACCTTGTTGAATCTTACTTAGTTCCTTCTGGCCCGCTTCTAAAGCCTGTCCTCTGGATGGTATTCCTTCCTGTGTGTCCTGTGTATCTAAATGTCTACAAAGCCACTGCAGAAACTGCTCTTAGTGACACTATAGTTGTTCAAATATCTGGGGCTTAGAGTTTCAGAGAAACAATTCACCTACTACAGGCATGTCCAACCCATGAGCTTCATGCAGTCCAACACAGCTGGCAACGTGTCCCATCCCCTCTACACATTTCAAAGGCTATTGCTCTTTTCCATGGAGTGGAGTGGTCCCGAGCACACGTCTATCCCTCAGCAGCAGTCAAATGGTGCATTATTAACAATGTAGACTGAAACTGGGACATGGGGAGAGCAGTGCTGTCTTGAGTGATAGCAAGTAATGGTATGCATTTTGTTGCATTGGCTAAACACAGGGCTCTGAACAGTGAATGTTAGGAAGTCCAGTCGTACTTTCCATTTCGATAAAGGAATTTGAAAACAGAATCATAGAATCCTTAGAATCGGAAGGGATCATGGAAGGCCATCTAGTGCAACTCCTCTGCAATGAACAGGGACATCCACAGCTCAGGCAGGTGCTCAGAGCACTCTCCTGCCTGCCCTTGAATACCTCCAGGGATGGGGCCTCCTACCCTGCTTGCTAAACTTGGGCATTGTCAAATTTCCTGTTCAAGTGCTCTCAGGAGCTGGTACTCAAAAAATGACCTGTGGCGACGGATCCCAGAGAATTCAAAACCAGTTTTCCAGGCACCTCACTAGCTAGTTCCCTGAACAGCCTGAACTGATATCCTGGGTTGAGTATTTGGTAGCAGTTTTCATCTTATCACTGAGAAATGTGAATTAAACCACTCCATGATCAATATGGTAAAGACAGTTACCAAACACTACTTCACACATGAGGTGTTCTCTGATCACAAATAAAAAATTTAGGAGAGCACATACCTGCATCTGCTTGCTAGTCAGAAGTGCATCTAAACCATTGTACTGTCTTTATTTGTTTGTTTTATGGCTTGTTTGGTTAGAAATAAAGCTAGAGTTAGGAATCTCTGTTCTGGTGGTCCTCAGGTCTTTTGTGTTCTGTTTTTATTTTTTAGTGTTTTCCATATGACTGTAGATGAGTTGACTTTCAGGGTTGTTTTGTTTTGTTGTTTTTTTTTTTGTCAACTCAAGATTGCATGACTTTGTAGCTGTTTAATGAAAGGTATCTGTTCTCCTTTTTGTTTTTCTTCCAATTATATTAATTGCTCTGTGTTTCCAGCCATTCTTCTCAGATCTTGTCTGCTGTTTCATTTTTCAGGCAATTACTGGAATTTTGTTTTTTTTCCCCATTCCTAACTGGAGTAGAAATCAAGCATTTACTGTGTTTATTAATTGTCACAGTCAAGAAAAAATACTTTAGTGCTACTGAAAAAAGGAAAAAATCAAAACAATGAAATTTATGTCTTACTAAAACAATTACCAATTTCTCTTTGAACGTAATAAATGGAGTAGGAAATAATATATTTACTCAATTTGCTTCTATGTAATTACATTTCACTTGGTCCTGTTTCACATCTGTGCGAACAAGGGCTGTGAAAGCCACACTATATGGGTTTTCTCTTGCATTAATTGTGTGTTGAGAATTTTTCTCTGTATGCACCTCGATTACATTCTCCATTCCATTAAGTGTCATCCATTATTGTATTTTCCTAGTACGTGTTTTAACAATATTTTTGAGAGAATATATTTTTGTATTCTTGCTTTCTCTTTTTCTTATTTTAAAGATTGCACAGTCATCTTCTCCTGGATCACTTCCTATAGATAAACCATCATCTGCACCCAGGTGCATCAACACTGGTTTATTTCAGTTATCTTCAGGCTATTTCTCATATAGCAAAATAGAAGTTCAATTTTAATTTATTACATTTGTAAGTGTCTGTGAAATGTACAGAATGTGGAACTTCTTAATAATTCCTACAATCACGTGAATCACCTTTTTTTTTTTTTTTTAAAAAAATATAAAAGATATATTTTTTTAAATAAAAAAATCTTTGTTCCTGTACACATTCTTTGTCGGTCTTCTCTGAAGAGTCAAAAACATTCGTGACATTTGTATCACTTTGAATAAGTAAAGGATTTTTATCATATTTCTCGAATTCTATATTAAAAAAATATCATAAATCTTTATTGGTTTCTTTTCTGCTTATTGGACTACTGTAAACTCATAAATAAGATCGTTTTGATCTTCGTTGGTATGATCAGTCATTTAGTCAGAAAATACTATACAGATGGATGGTTACA